TGTACATTTAGAGGGGGAAGGCAGGACATAAAACTGGGGAGAATGAGTGTGAGGCAGTACGATGCCCCTTATAGAGCACAGATCAAGACGTGGACTTTAGCTTGCTTTCTTTTTTTTTTTTTTTTTGCTTGGTATTGGGGTTTGAACCCAGGGCCTCATGCTTGCTAGGCAGGCACTCTACTAACTGAGCCACTTCGCCAGCCCTGTTTTGTGTTGGGTATTTTCAATACAGAGTCTGGCTAGTTATTTGCCCTGGCTGGCTTCGAACCATGACCCTCCTGATCTCCGCCTCCCCAATAGGTAGGATTACTGACATGAGCCACCAGTACCTGGCTGGACCTTAGCTTTCTAGAAGGTGGAGCAGGATATTACTGATTTTGCCCACTTAGCAATTTTGCTGGTTTCAGCCAACCCAGAAAATATTATGTCTTTGATTCCATTTTAATTAGAATATTAACACCAATATTTTTCTTAGGATATAAGAACGAAACAGGAACTGAAGACATAACAGGCATTTGGTGGGTTTTTTTTTTTTGGGGGGGTTTTTTTTTTTCTTTTATTCATATATGCATACAATATTTGGGTCATTTCTCCCCCCTTCCCTCACACCCTCCCTTACCCACCACCACCCTTCTTCCCCTTGAAGTTTCTCCTGCAATACACATAATTTACCTGTTTGATCACACGACTTGACAAATCCTGCCATCACTTTAATATTAAAAGTTAATTAACATTAAATTCTAATATTAATTAACTTTTAATATTAAGTACTTATAATATTAATCTTGGAAGCATGAAATTTGTGGCAGTAAACTTAAGGTCCTGTATTCATAATCATGAGAATAGAAACAGCCTGGATTGATTAGATAAAATGTGCCATACAACAAAAACCAAGGCAAATCTCCAGTGTGGGCCTCTTTAACTCCTTGGAAAATAGATCATTAACTCAAAAGTGAAATGAGGATGGCTAAAAATCCTGCTTGGCTATAAATTTTCATGATAGTCTCACTAACTATGGAGTTAAAAACTATAAACGGAGCATCAAAACTCCACCCTAAATGATGTAGATGGATGCCTGGAACATGTAATCTGAAACTATCCAATTCAGTGCTACTAAATTACCTTTCAAACTACCCTACTCTCCACTCTACCTCTCCTGCCACTGATACATTTTTTCATACTTACAAAGTGATATCTTTGGTCCTATGATTTTGAAGTATCAAAATACATTATCTGAAAAGACGAGACACTATAAATCACAAATTCTTCATCACAGATTAATTTATCAGAATACTTGATGTCAAAAGGAAAGCAGTAGATAAGACCTAAATGGTAGAGGCCAGGTTACATGTAGTATTTTATGTACTGGAAGAGAGACAGGAATAGCCCAAAGAATAGTACTGCTGAGCAGAATAGCCAATGCATGCTGTTGAAGTGAGGGTAACAGAAGACCAGTTATGGAAGAGAAGCCAAACGTTGTAAGGGAAGCGGGGAGAAGCTGAAGACAAACTTAGTCTATTTGAGAATTCTATGCAAGGCTGATCCTGTTGTCCAAAGTCAAAATCTGGAAATTATCCCATAAAAATAGGAAAATTTTATCAGAATTTATAGATCAAATAAAACAAAGGGTAGAATGATCAAATTTGCTTTCAAAGTATGTTTAAATTGATAACTCTACCCCAAAAACCCTCAATTTTAAATAAAAAAATTCTGTACATAGAAATACCAAGTGGTATTGAAATGCTAATGTCACACTAAGTACTAATAGGTGATTTCATCTCTTCTTGGTCAAGATGAGCAAAGGCCTATATTCAATTTCCAAATATCACACTCAGTTCTTATCTTGAAATATTTAGAATGAATTAAATAAATGTAGAAAGGGAGAAACACAACCCAAAAAATGTAACTCCCACGTAAGGAAATAGGCTTGTTATACCTTTTAAAAATCAAATTCCAACATTCCCAAAAATAAGCATTTGAAAGTTAACCAAGTAATAATATAAGTTTTTTGGCTTTATATATCGGAGAAAAGCAATTGTTAGTGGGTTCTTTTCTGGTGCTTTCCTTTTCAGGTTGCATGTATATTTGCAGCTACCAGTTCTTCATTCCTTAAGAAATATTTATATAGTATCTGTACTCATCTCCTGGGAAACTGTTTCAATGATTATAACATTCTTTAACAAAGAGTTTTTTGGGTTTTTTGGCGTTTCCATTTTTTTAAATTTTATTTATTTTTTTATTATTCATATGTGCATATAATGCATGGGTCATTTCTCCCCCCTGCCCCCACCCCCTCCCTTACCATCTACCCCGCCCCCTCACTCTACCCCCCACCCCCTTGCTACCCGGCAGAAACTATTTTGCCCTTATCTCTAATTTTGTTGAAGAGAGAGTATAAGCAATAATAGGGTTTAATATTATTAAACCCTTGTTTAATAATAATAAACAAGGGTTTTTGCTAGTTGAGATAAGGATAGGTATACAGGGAGTTGACTCACATTGATTTCCTGTGCATGTGTGTTACCTTCTAGGTTAATTCTTCTTGATCTAATCTTTTCTCTAGTTCCTGTTCCCCTTCTCCTATTGCCTCAGTTGCTTTAAAGTATCTGCTTTAGTTTCTCTGCATTGAGGGCAACAAATGCTATCTGGTTTTTTGGGTGTCTTACCTATCCTCACACCTCCCTTGTGTGCTCTTGCTTTTTTTTTTTTCCAAGTAAAATAAAATTAAATTTTTATTTACATATGCAATAACAAAACAATTTGACTACTTAGCTCAAACATAAAGTGCTCTCACTTTATCATGTGATCAAAGTCCAGTCCCCTTGCACAACAGGCATTTGTATTATCTAACATGAACAAGAATCCCAGTCTATATTTTTAGGGGATCTTCTTTGGCATTCTAGAAATGTGGATCCAGAAGCAGGGAAATAGCCAGAGAAAATTTAAAAAAAAAAAAGGAGTATTTAATTTTAGGTATGCCTCATTTCTCTGATTGTAATTCTTAAATGATATATGGGAACCCTGAGAAATAGGAAGGCTCCAAAGCTTTACCAATTAAGAAAAGTCCTGGCTCTGAAGGCCTAAGCACAGAAATAGTGGCCAGAATCTGCAGAGTTTAAATTACTCTTTACAAAACTCATAGCCTCAGAGACAAAAATTAAGGAATGAATTGTATCCCCCTCCCCCAAATTCATATGCTGAAGCCCCAACCCCCAATGTGACATATTTGGAGGTAGAACTTCTACAGAAGTAATTATGCCTAAATGATCATACTGATTAGTGTTCTTGTAAGAGGCTCCTGAGAGTTTGTTCTCTCTGTGCTATGGGAGGACACAATGAACATGTGGCCCTCTGCAAGCCAGGAAGACAGCTCTCACCAGAAACTGGCCTCACTAGACCTTGATCAAGGACTTCCAGCCTCTGGAACTGTGAGGAAGTTAATTTCTGTTGTTTAAACCACATAGCCTGTGGTATTTTGTTACAGTAGCTTAATCAGAAACAATTAAATTGTGTTTATTTGTAACTTTTATTGTTGTTGTTTTTTGGTGAAACTGAGGTTTGAACTCAGGGCTTCATGCTTGATAGGCCAGTGCTCTGCTACTCAAACCATGCCTTCAACCCATACTTGTAACTTTTGACAAAGAAAAGTGGTAGAAAGTAGAGACTAAAGGACTCATTTTCTTTCTCTTTTTCCTTTTTTTTTTTTTTTTTTTAGCATATATTCATTGTACAGGGGGGATTCGTTGTGTCAATTCTATAGCCTTACATTGTGCATTGGGGAGATGACCCCCGCAACCTCCCCCACTTTAAACTGCTCCCCACACCACTTAAAGCAATTACAAGAGGTGTCATTGTCCTATTTCATGTATTTATATGAAGCCGTCAACCATATTCCCTCACCTTCATCTCCTCTGTTCACTCTCCCTCCTTCCCCAAGTGCTCTCCCACACTACCTATTTTATAGTCCTGTCTTTCATTTTAACTCCTAATACCTGCCACACACTAAGAAGAAATGCCAGAATATTGAAAGATAAGAAGCACATAGGTCACATTTGACTGTGAACTAAGAATAAATGGGTTCTATATGAGGACATCAAGGAGTTACCTGTCAATAAAAATGATCGTGTACTTTTGGTAGATTTTATCTTCTCAAAAGTACTACAGGCTTAGTTATTGGCTTTCTTTTGTTTGTTGGGTAACACTGTCATCAAAATTGGCTCTTTGGTTTGGAAAGATGCTATGATGTTAAGTATTTTCAATGCTGATTCAAAGGTTGCATTTGCCAAACCATTATGAGAAAGCGACTACTATAGTGAGTTAACTCTGATGTAGTGTAATAGTAACAGTAGGCTCCAAAGTCAAACAATCTAGATTAATATCCTTACCCTATCACTTCCTAACTGTGCAATTATGGGCAAGTAATTTACATTCCCTGTTCCTCTGCTTCTTCAATTGTAACATGCATTAACAATTGTCCTAACACAGATGGCTATGTGAGTTTTGACACATAAATTAACTGGAAAAATACCTGGCATATAGTAAGTATGTAATTATTATTAGTTATTTTTTATTATATAAAATATTGGAGTATAATTTTTTGAAATTTGGCAACAAATGGTAATAAAAAGGAATATTAACAATATATAACAATGTTTACCAAGTATGTAGACCTAAAATAAAAATTAAAAAAAACCTGTGAATTATCCAGACATCTTTAATAACATTCATTAAATTGTTGCTTTATAATTCAGACAGAAACATTCTAAACACTTTATGACTTAGTGATAATTTAACTTACCATGAAACCTGGGAGCAGAACACTTAAAGATATATGCACATACACACACATCATTTATATTTCTGTGTGTATACATATATATTCTAGAATTCACCTGTGTAATTACTTCTCTGATTATTTATAGATTATATTAAATCTAATCCCTAAAATGGAAGAAGCCAAAAGCCAAAGTTTGGAGGAAGACTTTGGAGCCAAAAGTCAAATTTTGGAGGAAGACTTTGAAGGACAGGCCACACACACAGGTAAGTGAAACTGGAACAAAAAATGATTGCTAAATTAAAAGTAAACCTAGAAATAGCTTAATGCTGCTATTGACAATATTCATTATGGAATTTAGGTAAAAATTTTCAACTCTGTTGAATTGACTAGCAATTCCCTGTATCTTTAAGTGTGGATTGGGGCTTTGATGATTAGACAGAAAGTTAAATGAATTCACACTAGTATTAGATAAGACACATGGAAATTCATTGTATAATGACTGTGTGAACTCTGTTGAATTGACTAGGCAATTCCGTATCTTTAAGTGTGGATTGGGGCTTTGATGATTAGACAGAAAGTTAAATGAATTCACACTAGTATTAGATAAGACACATGGAAATTCATTGTATAATGACTGTGTGAGTAATATCTTTCCAAGTATGAAATAAAACCAGAAAACTGAGAGAAAATATTGATAAATTCAGAGGGAGGAAGGCAGGCAGTGGTGGGGGGGAGGTGAGGGAGGAAAGGAAAGGAAAGGAAATATATTCTGTGTATAAAAGTAAACAGGAACATAATTTTTTTAAAAAAATTAACAAATTGGGAAAAATGTAAGTCAATAGATAGAAAAATGGTTAATGTATTAAGAGATCTTATAAATAAACAAGAAAAAAATCAATACCCAAATGGGAAGATGGGCAAAAGACTGGACAGACTATTCATGGGGAGGGGGACAAAAAGACAGACACTTATGAAGTTGAAACTTTAATGAGCTGCATTTTTGCATACAGTTGGAAACAGTAAAAATTTTAATAACACATTTTTAGAATGAGGCTCTCTCATATGTGGCTGGCAGGAATATAAATTGGTATAGCCTCTGTAGGAACCATCTAGCAACACCACAATTAGAAATGTATTTGCCCTTTGACCAAACTATTTTGCTTATGTAATCATTAGATATATCTGAACATATAGACAAAAATGTATACACAAAGTTCTTCTGTCTGTATCATACGTCACAGAAAAATGTGGCACCAATAATGCACCTCAGTAAGAAACTGTTTAAGTAAATTGCATATACCTCTACAATACAATACCATGCCTTCAAATTTTAAAGAGAAGAGCCTTTCTACATATGTATATGAAAAAATTCCCTATTGCATTATGAAGTAAAAAAATGTAAGGAAAAGCGTTTATATCCTACTATTTATAGGAAAAAAAAAGAAAAAAGTTTCTTTTTTCTGCATGCATAAACACATACACACATGTTTTGTATGTGCATAAAACATCTGGAAAATGAGGACTACACAAAAATTAAAAGACATTGATTGCCTGAATATGATTAATATAAACAAAGTTATAATAAATTTAATTTACATCCATGTAGTATATTATGTATAGTATAAATAAATTATTAGAGAATATAAGGGAGAAAGAGAAAATACACTCAAATATAGAACACCATATCAAAGGTATGGAAACACTAAGATTTGGTGAAGGATATTCAGGTTAATACTGCAAGTTTTTTCCCCATTTTTATTAGGATATATTCATTGTATAAGGGTATTCATCATGCCAATTCCAAATAGCCTTGCACTGTGCATTGGTTAGATCTCCCCGGCCATCTCTCTCCATGCCCCAATTACAGCAATTGCAATAGGTTTCACTGTTCTACTTCATGTATGTATATGAAGTCCATCAACCATATTCCTTCACCTTCCCTCCTCCCACAAGTACCCTCCCACACTGTACCTATTTTACAGTCCTGTATTTCATTTTAATTCCAAAGTCAGTGTTCAAAGGGGTTTCTGTATGTATCACAGCTGTGAGTATGCTTTTCTTTGGTCAGTTCAACCCCATGTTTTTAAGAATTTAAGACCTTCTTTTAAACACAGTTATTTTTCAAGGCAATCAATGTTAGAATTCCAATTGGATCATCTTTGACTGGATTAATTTTCCTTAAGTCTGCGAATCCCATTATTTCTGTATTTATGAATGATTCTTAGACCTTTAGAAGGAGTTGGGTGGTTGTGTGATGATTTTGGTTGTCTTTTAGGTACTGTAAGTTTTCCCCAATTCCAGTCTCCTTTATTAACAGTGCCATGTCAATGTTAGTTTATAAGTAAACCTTGTTTCTTACTTAATGAAAGTGCTATTTCTCCAAAATTCTAGTTTTCCCCATATATTCTAATTTTAAATATATTTACTCCAAACTTTTGCCAACAGTTCCAAATGTTTAGTCTGTACCTTAATTAGTGCAGACATTTCAGAAGGATTCTTTGCCAAAACCCATTTTATAAGATTAATCTAAGGGAATGTTTCATGAACAGGCCAGTGAGGAATGTGTAGTCCATGTAAGATGTTTGTTTCTAAAGCAGGAGATGACAAGTCTATTCCCATGGCAACATTTGCACAAATTTCAATTGTGCAAACAGTTCTTTTGAAAAATAAAAAGAGAAACAATGTGTAAATTTTCCAATTCCAGGACCCAAAGGAGTCATAAGTGATTGGAGAAAGTTTAAATTAGAAAGTGAAGACAGTGAATCAATCCCACCTAGCAAGAAGGAAGTTCTCAGGCAAATGTCTTCTCCTCAGAGTAGAGATGACAAAGACTCAAAAGAAAGATTCAGCAGAAAGGTAAGATAAGCAAAAGATAATAATAAATCAATTACAATGTGTTTTCTAGTCAAGTCAATAGTTGTACTGGTAAAAACAAAGTGGAAATGAAGTGAGTATCAAGGTGCTCCAAGACATACATGTGCTGGCTTTTAAAAGAACAAGTTACACAATACATAAATTGACTTAAGGGCAGTTTCACAGTAAGAGAAAGCAAAATACTGAGAACTTGAAGTTATATGAATGTTTCTATTCTCTAGAGCAACAAGACACCTTTGTACACGTTTTATGTTTATACGATCATAAGCGTATGAGTTAGTACATAGAAAAGTACAAATAGGCACTCTCGAAGTTGACAATATTGGTAATTTGAAAGAAAGAGATTGGTTGGAAAAGATGAGAAAGAGGTAAGCAGAATAAGCCTCAAGTTAAAAGAAAAGATATTAAAGCAACATTTTTGGGCGGGAGGCATCATTCAAGTGGTAGAGGGCTTGCCTAGCAAGCACCGGATCCTGAGTTCAAACCCCAATACTGCCAAAAATTTAAAAAAAAAAAAAAAGCTTTTAGTGTTTTAAAACAGAGCTCACATGTTAAATTATATAATGTATTCATCTATGTCATAATAACATATACACTAAGATGATCTCAAAAATGTTAAAGGAGATTAACTGAGTATTAAAGTGGTGAAATTTCAGTATTTATTATTTCTTTTGTCTTTCAGGTTTTTATTTTTTTACATGAGCTAGTAACAAAGTTGTTTATTGCATGTGCTATAAATTAGGCTTGTTTTCACAAGCATCACCACAACAATGTTATAGGCAAAAGGGATTTTTCAGCTATAATCTAATGGGATCAGCATTAGCTATGCAGACCTTTGCAGATCAAAACATCATGTGCAGTACATGACTATATGTGAAAATGTTCATGGTAGACAAATCTAGGTGATTAGGTACACAGGTATTCACTGAAAAATTTTTCCTAATACAATGTTGAGAGGTAACGATAATGTTTGAGCTCTGTCTCTACAGTTTTTGATTTAATTGGTCTGGGGTAATAAGTTCAGGTATTGGTATGGTACCTGGCCTAAAGAAAATAGGTAATCAATAAAGGAATAATTTTAATGAAGAAATACAATGGGAAGTAAATCCTAGACACATAAATATGTGATAGAATACAACTTAAGGACTAAGTGGGAAACTGCAAAAGTGGGACACAGCAGATCACTTGCAGGCCTTTAGGTTCTACACCACATGTAGCACTAGTCAGAAAAATGGTCCTTCTACACAATTCTAGAGCTGGGCAATAAACGTTCCATGTTAAAAATAAAGGGTGATGTTGTGGAGAGACAACAATGAGAAAAAAGAGGTGTTGCCTGGAGGAAGAGACCAGCTGCATTATGGACTCTGCCATGCCCTAAGTTCATAGCAGGGGACCTGGAGTTTAGGATGGTCCTCTAAACTTCCTAACAGAGTTGCTGAAATTCTAAGAAACAGTTTCCCTAGAGAACCACCTGGACTGATGGCCTTTACAACTAAGATTTCAGATCTTGTTATTTTAGTAATCACTAATATTAGATCACACATTGGAGTTTACAGGAAACTTGGAAATCTATTTGGTAGGTTTCATTTTTCTCATTAAAGCAAATATTTATCATCTTCTGTTTTCCAGACTATGGTAGGTGCTGGGAATAAAACAGTGAGCAAATCCAAAGATGCAAGGCTTCAGAGATGCTGCCAGTCACCTAGGGTCAAACACATAGTGGGCAGCAGAGGCAGGGACCTGAAATAATGTTTGTATGACAACAGAATCACTAACACACATTTTGCTGTTGTTTCAAGAAGCAAGAGAATGGACTGCATAACTTCTAAAATACTTCCTAGACAAACACTCAGGCCACTATTTAAAATTAAGGAAGGAAAGGAAGAAGAAAGAATAACCTACTCTACATACTAATAACATTTCTTATTTCGAACAACCCAGAGCAGCTGCAACTGGCATGAACACTACTCAACCCAGGGCTGGGGTACTGTATGCCCTTGACACCTGGTTATAAGAATATGATCTTCATGTAAATCATGCCAAGAGGTTTGCTTTGGCAGAAGACCGGAATGCTGCAGCCTTGAATTTGCTGAGGGATGTCCTCCAATGTGTCAAAGACACTTATGCAGCCTCCAGTCACTGGCTCTGGTTTAGGAACAAGAAAGCAACTGCTGGGGCAGTAGGAAAGTAAACTGTAGGCTGTTTCTGAACTGTTAGAAAAGTTACTTTGATTTCTGATCATCTCATGCATCTTATATAAAATACAAACAAGACTACCTACTTATAGAGTTATCATAAGAACCAAAAACATTTACAGTCAGCTGCCGATGGCTCACACCTGTAATCCTAGCTACTCAGGAGGATGAGACCAGGAGGATCATCAACTATTTGCCTAAACAAATAGCTCTTGAGACCCTATCTCAAAAATAACCAACACTAAAAGGGCTGGTGGAGTGGCTTAAGTGGTACAGTGCCCACCTAGCAAGCATGAGGCCCTGAGTTCAACCCTGGTACTGACAAAAAAAAGAAAAGAAAAGCATATGCAAACACAAGCAAAAAGAACCACCTAGCGTACTGCCTGAGACAAAAACTGATGTCCAATAAAAATGTTCCCTTCTCCATCTATCTTTCTAGTTTCATCTGTACTGTTCCCTAAACTCAACATTCCATTTATATGCTTTCATATTCCTTCCTTTGCCTACACTATTCTAGCTGCCCTAAAATGTCCCAAGTTGTCTGCCACGCAAACTCCTACCCATTCCTCAAGGTCCAACTTGACTCACTTCCTCTATGAAACCTTTTCAGAAGCCCCTTACTGCCATATTTCCCCAAAATTTAATAACATTTTATATAAATTTCTATGTAGCAATTTCCAAATTTCATTCATCCTTTTACCCATAACTCATGTTTGTTGTGCTCACTAGCCCATGAATAATTTAAAGGACAAAATTGAGTCAGATTAATCACTGTCTCCAGGGCCCACCAAGCACAAGAATGATACAAACCAAGTATATTAGCAAGAGTTCACTTTCCTAAGGCAGCCTGGTTTAGTGAAAAAAATACACGAGCTGGTAGGGTCAACAGTTCCAAATTTTCATTTTATGGGAACCTGAAACCCATGGGGGTATGAAATCTACCTATGCTCTGTAAATGAAGTATTGATAAGGACAAGACTAAATCTCTGATCATTCTCATTCTCTTAAAAACTCTTTCTACGCTAATTTGAGATACCAACAATTAGAGAAATATGAGAGGAGTGGGGTGGAATGGGCAGAGGCATTTGGAGTGAGACTTAAATTCACTTAGGCTTTTATACTTAAAAACAGACAGACAGTGTCTCTCTCCCTCCCTCTTTCCTCAATCTCTCTCTCTGTCTCTCTCTCATCTTCCTCACTCCTATCACCCTTGCAGGCTAGTAACTAGAGTTACTTGCAGAAACCAGTACTAACAGGTCTTAACCTTATCATTTTGAGAAAACTGACGGTAGCCTCAGTTGAATTAGCTTTTCATTGCTGTGATCAAAACACTTAACACAAAGAAGGTTAGAAAGGATGGATTTATTTTACTCATGATTTCAGACGGTTCGGTCCATCATGGCAGAGAGGGCAAAGCAGAGCAGAACAGTTCATATCATGGTGGATGGGAAGCAGAGAGAGACAGGAGGCTCCGGATCTGGTAATAACTTTCAAAGTCACACTCCCAGTGACTCACTTCCTCCAGCGAGGTCCCACCTCCCGAGGTTTCCACAGCCTCCCAAAACAGCGCCACCATCTGGGGATCAAGTTTTCAAAATGTAAGATTGTGGGGGCCATTTCATATTTAAAGCATAACATGCCACCCCAGCCCCCAAAGGCTCATGGCCATATCATAAAGCAAAATTCATTTAGTCCATTTCCACGAGTACCCGTATTCTTAACAGTTTCAACATTGTTCAAAAGTCTAAAATCCACAGTCTCCATGAGATTTAAGGCAATCTCATAACTATGAGTGCCTGTAAAAAATAAACAAAAAAAAAAACCAAGTTACATACTTCTAACATTCAATTCTATACAGTAAACATGTTCATGCTAAAAGGGAAGAAAGGGGGAATCAGCCAAAGAATTGGATTAAATCAAGACCAACACCCAGCAAAACAAACAGTAACTCCTGTAGCTCCATGTTGGTCACCCAGGGCATGTGGTCCCATGAGGTGAATTCCAATGGGCTTGGGCCTGGATGACCTTGTTGTTTTGGAGTGTGCATGGGCTCTCTCCTGCCTGCAGCTTTCCTTGGCAGACATTCCATGTTCCAGGTATCTTCAACATCCTGGGGTCTCCATTGAAGTTTAGGCTACCATATTCCAAGACTTCTGGTCAGGGTAATAATGATCTTCAAGTCTAAGATTTTTGAGGTATGGGTAGGAGAGATTGGTTCCTTCACTTTTTGCAGAATTCTATGCAACATGGATGAAGCAATTCAATCTTCCCATCAGGAATTGTATGAATATCTTCTCTAATTGTTTTCCACAAATGTGAAGAAAAAATAAATACGAAATTGTTTTGAAACACAAAATACGATACAAATGTGAGACATTATTTTTATTAAAGATTTTTGTGCTACGGTTAAGCTTTGAAAATGTATCTGAATGCATAAATATCTACATGAATGAATATTTGAATGAAGCAAGTTCTCATATGAATGCATTTTCAAATCTTCTGTGGTTCAGTCTATTAAAGTGACAGAACTACAGTAGCAACTTATAAAACAGTAGAACACTTGCCTAGCAAGAACAATGCCCTGAGTTCAAACTCCAGTACCACCAAAAAAAAAAAAAAAAGAATTACACAAAAATTTAACAGTTTTAGGCCTAAAACAGATCAAATTAGGACAATAATATTAAGGCAGAAAAAATTATAGGATAAAAAAATGAGGGCATTAGAAAAACAAAAACACTACCTTAGGTAGAAACAGGAGAAGGAAGTAATAAAAATATATTTCTATTTAGACTGAACCTCAGTATCTTATGTAAGTAACACTAATATTTACCAAAGAAGATTGTTGTAAAGATTAAATAATATAATCTATGTAAAATGCCTAGGACATTAGAATTTCCATAAATATTAGTTTCTCACCTTCTTAATTCTCCTCTACTTTAAAAATCAGCAGCAGGTGCTGTTTGAGCAGGTATATGATGATCAGGCAGCAGCAGATGACCCCCCCCTCGGGACTGTCCAGCATTCATGGTCCCAGGCTGCTCTGCATCTATAAGTGTGTCCTGTATGACAGCATATCCCATCCCTGCATGTCTTCCTTTGTTGTTGTTGTTGGGAGAATGGGGTGCTTAGCATTTTATCAAATGCATTAATAATGGAGTAGATATTATGAAATGCTGTGCAGGTAATTTTATATTCTAGTTGCAATGAAAAGTAGCCTTTTGGAAGACAGAACTTAAGTGTTTTCTCACTATTGCCTAAACCAGTGGGTAAGAATAACCTAGAGGGCTTGCTAAAACATGGATTACTCACCTCACCCTTACAGGTTCTAATTCAGTGGTCTGGGTTATGACACAAACTTTGCCTTTCCAAGAAGCTCCCAAGTGATGTTATGCTGCTGGTCCAGCCAGTAACACTTTTGGCTAATTTGATGAACTCCAAATAGTGGCAAAGCAGTCTTGCTTGAATTCCATCCTATATAGCCCTCTCCTGCCAAAAGAAACCCCAGTAAATTATAAGATTTTAAAGACTTTTGTGGTCAGGCGCTGGTGGCTTATGCCTGTAATCCTATAATCCTAGCTACTCAGGAGGTAAAGATCAAGAGGATCATGGTTCAAAGTCAACCTGGGCAAATAGTTCACGAGACCCTATCTCAAAAATACCTAACACAAAAATGGCTGGTGGAGTAGTTCAAGGTGTAGGCCCTGAGTTCAAGCCCCAGAACTGCCAAAAAAAAAAAAGACATTTGTGGAAGGAACACTAATGTCCAGAGGCATTTGTTAGGGAAACATTTAGGTGTGTACTTGTCTATGTGGTGTGTAGGTGTGTAGGTTTTTTTCTTTTTTGATGAAAGCTATTCCAGAGTAGACTTTGCTTGATTTTTTTCCACCCAAAGTGGATAATTGATGAGTGGCATATTTCCAATTCATATCATGAGACTTTTGTGGCTCAACTATATTTAGCAATAGTTCTACATGCATTTAATCATGCAATAATTATAAAACCTCTATTATGCCCCACTTAAAGCAGATATTGAAGATGCTGTGAACCGAATAAAATTCTTGTCCATTTGAACATATTTGTTAGAGAAACTGACATTAAACAATTAATTAAATATATTGTCAAGTATATTGCAAATGACCTCTGTCATTTTTTTCATCTATTCTCAGATGAGCATTCAAGAATATGAACTGATCCACCAAGACAAAGAGGATGAAAATTGCCTTCGTAAATACCGTAGACAGTGCATGCAGAATATGCATCAGAAGCTGAGTTTTGGGCCTAGGTATGGATTTGTGTATGAGCTGGAAACAGGGGAGCAATTCCTGGAAACAATAGAAAAGGAGCAGAAGATCACCACAATCATTGTTCATATTTATGAAGGTGGCATTAAGAGTTGTGATGCTATAAACAGTAGTTTAACATGCCTTGCAGCAGAATACCCCATGGTCAAATTTTGTAAAATAAAAGCTTCTAATACAGGTGCTGGGGACCGCTTTTCCTCAGATGTACTCCCCACACTGCTTGTGTACAAAGGTGGGGAACTCATAAGCAATTTTATTAGTGTTGCTAAACAGTTTGCTGGAGAATTTTTTGCTGGGGATGTAGAGGCTTTCCTAAATGAATATGGATTACTACCTGAAAGAGAGATGCAGACCCCTGAGCAGACCAACATGGAAGAAGAAGATATTGAATAAACACAATGTCAATACTTCATATTTATCCTTTACACATGAAACATTGATTTTGGTAGTATCTATATTCCTTTAGAGAACACTAAACATAGCCATGGCTAGTCTCATTTTGAACAAAAGATTGATGTTAAACTTTTAGCATTTCTTAGTATTAGTTATTCAAATTGAGGTAATGCTTTACTATAAAAACAGTGCAATCCTTAACAACATTGTTAGTAAATAAAGAAGAGGGGGATGATATTATGTTATTTTTCAAAAATTCTTTCAAATGATGTGGTAGGTTTTTACTCCTTGTTTTTCCTCAATGTTCTTATTTGTGCTTTTCCAACTGCATTATGACTTTAATTTTTCTAGTGCAATAAGAATAAAATCTCATGAGGAAATAAATACCCTACGTGAACTCTGCTTCTCAAGCACTACATTATGAAGGTCCTGAGAACTTCATAAATCTCAGAATACAGAAGGTTTTTATTCTGTTAAGTATCCTACATTCCAATCAAATCAATGTATAAGAAATTTAGAAACACTGTGCCACATTAAAGTTGTAAAAAAAAAGTTGTACTTGCTAAAAAGGTAGGATGGAAACAAGGTCTTCTTATTCTCATGATGAAAGCATAATATTTAGTAATCATAATAATTCCAGTTATCATTTATTGATTGTCAATTGTAAGCCAGTATTTTATGCCACATATCTAATTAATAACCACAAATCTGCATGTAGAATAGTATTATTTTCATTTTTAAAATAATGAAACTGAGACTCAGAAAAGTGAAATGGAAGTTTACTTTTATTTCTCTTGAAAACATTTAGAAGTCTGTCCTCCACAAAGACATGGAAGTACAAAATAGAATATAATTTTAAAATATTTTTGGATGTATGAATTAGCTTAAGAGCAAAATAAAAGAAGTTTTCTAGGTCTGAATCAGAGTGGAAAAATAATGGCATGTGAGAGCTAAAGAAATTGGGCCTATGATGGAAGAAACAGTGCTTGTCAAGTACCCAGGAATGGGTTCCATATGAGATGTGTGTATAAAGCAAATTTACACAATTCTTCCTGGCAGACCATGGTTGAAATCAGACATGTGTCACAATGTTGAGTCTCCATTCTCTCTCTCTCTCTCAGGGCCTTGTATTTGCTAGGCAGGCACTCTACCAATTGAGCCACTTCATCAGCCCTTTTTGTGTTGGTTATTCTTGAGACAGAGTCTCACATTATGCCTGGGATGGTCTGCTAATCCACCTATTTGCACTTCTCCATGTAGTCCTGTAAACTTTTTGTTCAGGTTGTACTCCAACCATGATCCTCTTGATCTCTGCTGTGAGGATCACAGGCTTGAGCTAATGCTTGTGGCCTAGTCTCCACAATCTGAAATGAATACTTTATACTCTTCTTTCCTTAAGCCTTTTACACTCCTTCCACCCACTGTAAGCATACTTCATTGAGAAAATAGAAGTTATCACATAATACCGACCTCATCTTTCCACCATCAGAACTAAAATGTGCACTTACATGTAAGCATTGTTTCTACTGACGTTATGATGGAACAAGTGTCCATAGACCGATTAAAGAGTCCATAGAGGCAACCCACAAGCTATACTATAGACACTACCTTCCTCACATATACAGTTATTCTTTTGCAGCTATTCCTGTCCTCTCTGCATATCTCTCTCCCTTTCTCTATATTGTATTACCCATATTGGATTATAAGTTTTTTTAAATTGCCCACCATTTAAAATATACTCACCTGTAAGGTTGGGCATGGTGCTTCATGTGTGTAATCCCAAGTACTTGGGAGGCTAAAGTAGGAGGATTACTGTCCAAGGCTAGCCTAGGCAAAAGCATAAGACCCTACCTGGAAAAAAAAACTAAAAGCAAAAAGACTGGGGAATGTGGCTCAACTGATACAGCACTTGTCTAGCAAGCAGGAGACCCTGAGTTCAATCCCCAGTGCAGAAAAAATAAGTAAAAATAAAACCTATCCACTAATAATTTAAATTTTTTAGATACCACTCACTTCTCTGATTTTCTTTACAATCATGACTCTTAAAGAGATATCTTTGTTCCTCATTTCCAATTTTCTTTTCATCCTACTCTAATCAGGCTTTTTTCTCAAGCACTTTAATTATAGTTGTAGTCTCTTGAAAAACTTAATGGGCATTTCTTATCCTTTATTCTACTCTATTTCTTATAAGTGTGGGTCAGATTTGACTATCTCCCTCCTTGTTAAGTCACTTTGGCTTCTTTGAGAGCACGTTCCTTGTTAGCCTACTCTCCTTTTTTTTTTTTTTTTCATTTTTCTTTTATTATTCATATGTGCATACAAGGCTTGGTTCATTTCTCCCCCCTGCCCCCACCCCCTCCCTTACCACCCACTCCACCCCCTCCCGCTCCCCCCCCTCAATACCCAGCAGAAACTATTTTGCCCTTATCTCTAATTTTGTTGTAGAGAGAGTATAAGCAATAATAGGAAGGAACAAGGGGTTTTGCTGGTTGAGATAAGGATAGCTATACAGGGCATTGACTCACATTGATTTCCTGTGCGTGGGTGTTACCTTCTAGGTTAATTCTTTTTGATCTCACCTTTTCTCTAGTACCTGTTCCCCTTTTCCTATTGGCCTCAGTTGCTTTAAGGTATCTGCTTTAGTTTCTCTGCGTTAAGGGCAACAAATGCTAGCTAGTTTTTTAGGTGTCTTACCTATCCTCACCCCTCCCTTGTGTGCTCTTGCTTTTATCATGTGCTCATAGTCCAATCCCTTTGTTGTGTTTGCCCTTGATCTAATGTCCACATATGAGGGAGAACATACGATTTTTGGTTTTTTGAGCCAGGCTAACCTCACTCAGAATGATGTTCTCCAATTCCATCCATTTACCAGCGAATGATAACATTTCGTTCTTCTTCATGGCTGCATAAAATTCCATTGTGTATAGATACCACATTTTCTTAATCCATTCGTCAGTGCTGGGGCATCTTGGCTGTTTCCATAACTTGGCTATTGTGAATAGTGCCGCAATAAACATGGATGTGCAGGTGCCTCTGGAGTAACAGTATTTTGGGTATATCCCCAAGAGTGGTATTGCTGGATCAAATGGTAGATCGATGTCCAGCTGCCTACTCTCCTTCTAAATCTTTCACTGACCTCTCTAAACACTCACTCTAGGTAACATCTTCTAGATCACAGTCTTAACTACCATTTCAATCTGGTCTCTCAACTTCACATCTCCAGCTGGACCTCTCTCCTAGACTCCAAAATCCTATCACTCAACTGGAGGAAGACAGGAAAGGAGGAAAAGAAGAATGAGAAAGGAGAAGGTCTGTAATTGTACTAAAGATTGGTACAATAAACAGTACAGAGTTGGACAACAGAATACTTTACTATAGCCAGCTCATGTTGATGGAATCCTACATATGATCAGAGAGTGCTTTTGTTCATGAATCTAAAATCCTGAATACTTTTTCCTCTTTATAAACAAGAAAGATTTTTTTTTGCCTTTTCTGTTGTGCTGGGTGGGAGTACATTGTGGCATTTCCACAGATTCTTACAATGTATCAAATATATCATACATGAATTCACCTCTTTTAACATTCTTCTTCATCCTCCCTCCCCCTATTCCTGGAATAGTTTCAACAAGTATCATTTTTTCATTTACTTACATGTGTACACATTTTTTGTACTGTATTTATTTCCTACCCCCTTTCCTCAACACCTCCCCCTCCCCACTGGTTCCAGCCCTTCCCCCTTGACAGGACTTGTTCCGCCCTCCTGTTCTACAATTTTGTAGAAGAAAAAAGAGAAAATGAAAAACATGACATTTTAGCTTGTTTGAGATAAAGGTAGCTACATGGGGAGTTTCCTTGTGATATTTCCATGTATGTATGCACTATAACCCCAACTGGTTTATCTCCTCTAATTTTCTTCATTCTACCTTGTCCCTTTCATATGGTAGTTTCAGATTTTTATATTCATTCTTATATACAGAGTATATCAACCCTATTCAAGTTCTTAGTTTCCCTTCCCCTCCCTTGTGTATCCTCCCCTACTGTGACCAGTGTTTCATAATACTGCTGCATTTGTTTTAGGTCTATATTCCACATATGAGAGAGAACATGCAGGTTTTTGGACTTCTGAGCCTGGCTAACTTCACTTAAGATGCTGTTCTCCAGTTCCATCCATTTACCTGTGCCTGACAAAATTTCATTTTTCTTTGTGGCTGAGTAAAATTCCATTGTGTATAAATACCACATTTTCTTAATCCATTTGTCAGTAGTGGGGCAGCTTGGCTGTTTCCATAGCTTAGCTATTTGTGGATAGTGCTGCAATAAACATGGGTGTATAGGTGCTTTTGTTGTAAGCTGACTCACAATCCTTCGGGTATATCTCTAGGAGTGGTATTTGCTGAACCTATGGCAGATCTATGTTTAGTTTTTTAAGGAGCCTCCATACTGTTTTCCATAGTGGTTGTACTCACTTACATTCCCACCAGCAGTGTATAGGGTTCCTTTTTACCCACATCCTCGCTAACATTTGTTGCCATTTGTGTTCTTGATTGTAGCTACTTTAATAGGAGTAAGGTGGAATCTTAATGTGGCTTTGATTTGCATTTCCTTTAATGGCCAGGGATGTTGAGTGTTTTTTCATGTGTTTTTTTTTTTTTAGCTATTTGGACTTCTTCGTTTGAAAAGACTCTGTTTAATTCATTTGCCCATTTCTTCATTGGGTCATTGATTTTTTGGGGGAGTTTAGTTTTTTGAGCTCCCTTTATATTCTGGTTGTCAATTCCTTGACAGATATATAGCTAGCAAAGATTTTCTCCCATTCTGTGTGTGGTCTCTTCAATTTAGAGACCATTTCTTTTGTTGTACAGAAGCTTTCTAATTTCATGTAGTCCCATTTGTCGTTTCTTTCTCTTAGTTGCTGAGCCACTTGAGTTCTACTGAGGAAGTCCTTGTAGGAAAGGCATTTTAAACATCCTGTGGCCTGTTTGTAAGTTGATGATTAACAG